CCCCCCCCCCCCCCCCCACTGCTATAGTGGGGAAAACAGCAGTATGAGGCAGAGGGAGCAAGCTGCCTCATGCAGCCTCTGCCTGCCCCTTCTCCCACCCTCTGCTTGCTGTCCAGTACAGCTCTGGTTCCATTCAGCAGCAGTGGTGGAAGCATAAGCTCCATGCCAGGAGGAGATAGGCTGAGGGAAGTAGACAGTGGGGTGTGGGAGGGCAGGTACCTGCTTTGGCTCTGATTGGTCCTGACGGGCTTAATGTTGGAGTTGGAGCTGCAGCAACTGCCCCACCCTTTGTCCTCAAATCCAAGACGAAAGGCCTCCCCCCCCCCCCCCCATGCTGAATGGAGGGGGAAAAAAACCCTTGTTTTGGATTTGAGTAAATACAATATTTTCTGCTCCATTTCCAAAATACTTATCTGCAGTTTTTTAATTCAACTTAATTTTGAAAACACATGCTGTGTTTTAATATAGAATGCAATAGTTGGTGAGCAAGAAATTGTGAGTGAAGGGAAAAGAGGAGTCATTTTGGAGGGCTGGATAAATCCAGAACAGTAAATATTATGTAAATACTTCAGCTCTTCTCATTTTTTTTCTACTGATGCTCATGACCAGTGCAGAAACAATGCCTAATTTTATCTGTTGTTCTTTTCATTAAAAAAAATCTCCAGCTGAATATTACAGACCCAAATGTGTATGGTATTGTGTGTGAACTGAATGGAAATTATACTTCTTTTTTCAAGTTTATTAGCAATTGATAATTATAACTTAAACTTCACTAATTTTCTGTTTGTTGTTTTCTTCTTTTGTTTAGGATCTTTACACTAAAGCAATGCCCAAAGTAGAAAAAACTGTTGAACGTGGTAGAGGTAAATCGGCTTAAAATTGTATTTACTATCAACAAGAATCACAGTGCAAGTCTATAATTAAAATTTCTATTGGCATGAAAGTTCAATAAGTATTGTTCTTTGTACCATGTAAGTAAGTAAAGCTATTTCAATTCTTTCTCTTGTTTGTGTATAGAGTTTCTTAGAATTCCTTTGAGCAGTATTGTTACATTTTCAGTCATTAACACCATAGATTTGCATCTGTCTTCAAGGAGTGCAAAAGTAATAATAGCTTTGTGGCGCATGTCTGCAACATTGTTAAACAGGACTGTACAGGAGCCATAAAGATTTTCTCGTAGTTCAGCCACTGTAAGTCAGTCTGCAGAAACAACAGAAAGTCCACTGTCATTCAGGATTTGTTGATCAAAGTTTTTGGTTTTTTCCGTATTATTTTTCAGCATTTTTATGTTCATCCCTCTCTCCCCCTCTGCTCAGAATTATTTTGCTAAAATAGGTGTTTTGTTTTGTTTTGTTTTTAAACTGTATTATGTTCATAGTGTGAAGTATCACCTAACAGAGGAGTTCAAGTGGGACTTCACACAAGTGCAAAGTTTACGCATTAGAGCTCATTGGAGGACTGGGTCTCTCTGAATTAAGCTGTCCCAGTCTTTTGAACATCCTTCTCTATATGGAAAGCTTTCTGGGTTTTTAATCCATGTCACCTCTTTCTAGATCTCTGATTTCTGCTGTGTCTCTTGCTTAGAGAGGGTGGCCAGAACTGACTTCAGTGAAGCAGTGCTCGAGCTAAGTGAGCTGCTTATAAAGATTAGTCAAAGTGCTGGGGCCAAGGAAAATATAGGATATAAGAAACAATCTAGAAGCTAAATCAAACTCCCTAAAGAAATTGGCAAATAATAAAATAACACTATGTGTTTAATTTTATTCTCTTATCATGGGAGAAGATGGCAAAAACTTCAAAACCTTTGCAAGGAGATCTTAAAAGGTCATGACAGTTGAAATGGTCACTATTTTTGGTGTTGTTCCTTATTGCAAACATGTGTTTTGAATTCTTGCTAGAGGGTTGTGAATTTCTCAAAAATCCCCCTGCTGGATTCTATCCAAGACTTGGTGTGATTGGGTTCGCTGGAATTGTTGGACTCTTTTTTGCTAGAGGTAGGTGCTTTTTTGAAACCGCTTGTTTTTTATAATTTCAGGTAAATATGTTCTTTTAATCTCATTTAGCTTTTCAGTTAATGGGTATTTGTAACAATTGCAAATTAAGTGCATTTCTATATAAATTACCTTTTAAAAGAACCTTTCCAGCTCTTGGCAGAGTTGATTTATTTCATGTTCTCGTATCTTTGCATAAAGCTACTTAGGAGTAAATTGTAATTAAAGTATAGCAAGTTCATATGTATTTTACAGCATAAAAATTCTATACAATTCATTTCACTACTTAGAGCATATTTACACTTTATAAGGAAAGGGAATTTTGAAATATTCTAATTTCTATAGATTTTAGTGTGTGATAAAACAGAGCAGACTAAATTACTTTGGATGATATTTGAATGATATGAGCAATGGTCTCAAGTTGCAGCAGGGGAAGTTTAGATTATATATTAGGAAGAACTTTCTCACTCAGAGGGTAGTAAAGCACTGGAACAGGTTACCCAGAAAGGTTGTGGACTCTCCATCCTTGGCGGTTTTTAAGACCTGGCTAGACAAAGTCTTGGCTTGGATGATCTAGTTAGGGATCGTCCTGCTTTAAGCAGGGGGTTGGACTAGATGACCACTTGGCTAGGAACAGAAGTTACACATAAACTGGTTTAAGTAATCAGAAACTGGTTTAAATGTGTAACAGACATTCAGTGCACATAAACCAGTTTCAAAATGGCTGAAACTGGTTTAGGATAAACCTGGTTAACTGATTCAGGTCAAACTGGTTTATGAAACTTCTGTCCTAGACCTCTTCCTGGTTCAAGTTAAATCATAGTCCCCCAGTTCTGTAGGGTAATTTTCATGGCAGAAATGCACTAATAAAAATAAATCCAAATGAAATTTTAAAATATCACTTGAATGTGGTAATGTGTCTGAGGAAAGTGATAGGCCTGCACTAACTCATGTGGTAAAATGTCTGTAATGCAGCAAACTCTCTGGTAATTTATATGCAATTAAATGATAATGCAATCCAGGTGTCTGGATAATACATACTGTAACGGAACTTTTCTTCTGTGGAACAGGTTCAAAAATAAAGAGGCTGGTGTATCCAGTGGGTTTTATGGGGATTGGTGCGTCCCTCTATTATCCACAGCAGGCTGTTGCTATTGCAAAGGTCAGTGGTGATATTTCTGATTTTGGGGAAATCTCTTTACTTTGAAACTTATTTCTTACACTTGCAGATTAATTGGTAGTCTCCATCTTTATTTAAGAGCTTGCAGAATGTTTAGCTTTTATTTAAAAAAAAGAAAAGAAAAAAAGAAAAATAAAAAAAAAAGCTAAAGCAGGAACCTAAGTTCACACCTCTTCTGCTAAAACTGGACATGCATATCACAGTGTAGAGCAGTCAGGGTATAAGCAGACATTGCCAAACAAAGCAGATGAGTTTTGCTGGGATGTGTCCTGGCATAGTTAATCTGTTTCAATAGGCAAAATGGGTGTTGCCCATTGTCTTGCAGGGTCATAACCTTGCTACTCCCAGGAGCGGCTGGGGTATGATCCTGCAGGACAACACAAGGAGCACGTCTCTGCAGCTGGAGAAACCCAAGGTTCTGACACTTGCAGAGGTGCGTGCTTGGGAAATCCAACCT